AATTTCAAGAATGATAAGAATATTCTGATTGTGATCACCAAATGTGATGTTAATTCTGATGGCTTTTATACACATTTAATTTCAATGAAAACTAATTGATTTAATCAATACTATATAATCAGTAAAATTGCATTTTATATAAAGACTTAATGATAGCTTTAATTTCAAATATACCGGTAATAACTTATATTAAAAATCTATTATCAATTATAATTGATGTGATCAATAACATTGTCATTAGTGACACTAAAATCTTAAAAATTGTTATAACAGTAGTACTTATAAATAAATAAATTTTAAATGTAATTATAATTGTTTTTGTATTACAGTATAATTTAATTAATAAACAAAATATTTGACTAAAACACTGAATTTATTAAAAAAGAAATTATAACATGGTTTTCAAACAATTAAATTTCCTATTGTATGGTACTGGTTTAACATGACAGCCATTGGTGGTCATAAACTTTTTAAAATTTCTAAACCTCAAAATTTAATTTAGTTTGATTTACAAAACAATTAATAGCTCTACGGTAATTTATATTCATGGTACAAAAATCATACTTTATTTTGGTTACTTTTCTTGACAAACGCCGGTTTAGTATTCATGGCATAAAATACTCGGTCGACTATCCATTGCGGCAACAATGGTATGAATGGAGGAATTATTTTAAACGTAAACCTATTGACCGGTGTATACCGTCTGTTTGGACTCACACTAACCACGGCAGCGATCATATCATTAACCACAATATCCAGGTTCTTGGTGCCCATTCCTATTTTGAACTCCCAGTCCAGTACTTTCAATTGGTGTGCAAAATAGTGCTCACCATAAGCCTCGCGAATAGTGTCATCGGTTGTCATCCAATTCTTATCGAGCGATGGTTTTGCCATTTCATACATCGCTGTCTTGAACAGTAGGGGCTCTATAGTCGACACTTTCACTTTGAATTTTCTCATCTCCCGGCGCAAGGCATCCGAATAGGAAATGATGGAGAATTTGGACATACAGTACACCCCGAGATTGTCGGCTACTATACGCCCACCAAGACTGGCCACGATTACGATACGACCTATTATTGTAAACAACATTATTAACATGTATGTTTTTATTTAACATACAGTACTCTGTATACCTTGTGATAGCCTGATAAGAGGGGTAAATTTTCTAGTCACCCGAATCACACCAAACACATTGACGTCAAATGTTTTGGTGATCTCATCGAAAGGACCCCATTCTGTGTGACCACACGTGACAACACCGGCGTTGTTGACCACTGCCCACAATACACATCCATTTTTTTGTAGGTCTGATTCAACAAAATCATAGCATCTGTTGATTTGGTCCTCTTTCGTGACATTCATTTCCAAAACACACATATTGTCCGCAAACTTGCATTTTGTGGTCAAGTCCTGAGCGCCGACACTTTGTTCACTCAAAACGGTCGCATAGACTCTGAATCCCAATTCATTTAATCTAAACGCCAGTCGATTACCAAAACCTGAATCACAGCCTAAAAAAGTAAAACCATAATTAATATTTATACCAAATATTTAGTATAATATAATTTACATAAATTTCCTAAAATATTAAATGATAAACTTCTAAAAATATATAAACATATGGTATGGATAACGGGAAATAAGATTTAGAAATATTACTATAATATCAATTCAAATATTTTTAAAATTTAACGAAAACCAAAATTAGATTAAGATTATACCTGTTATTAAAACAGATTTATCTTTTGGTGAGATTTTTCTCCAGAACATTTTTACATTTAAAAAAATCTAGTAATAACTTTTGAAAAATAAAATAATATAATTTCATACAATGTCTCTAAACTGATTTAAGACAAAATAATTATATAATCCTAGCTTTTTGTATTTAAATATTTCTAGTAATAAGGAAATTATTGTAGAAAATTTCATTTGCCTTTCTTTGTTACTCAATATATTCAATAAATATAACCGGTTTGGTATTTTTGAATATTGAATGTGATTTGAATTGAAATTATTTATTTAACAATTTTAAACATTAATGATTTTTAAAAAATTATTTTAATTACTGAAAGACCACAGATATACAGGTATAAACTACTGTATATCGTATACAAGTTGTACAGTTTTATAGAGTATTACGATATGATTATTTTATACTGAGTATTCATAAAATTTAATTTATTAGTTTTAAATATATCTTGTTTAAAAATTTGATTGATGCTTAAATATACAACAATAAATCATACTTAACGTAATATTTTTATAATTTTATTTAGTTTAATTACTTTATAACTGGTATATTCCATTGTTATTTCTAAGATTGTTCATGATAACATTTAAACAATTAGTATTAATATTCAAAAGTCCTGAATGTCTATCACTGAATGAAATACACAATATATTTTAAATGAATTAATTATTTCTCAATACGACGCTTTTTGTTATTATTATTTATTATATATTAATCCATAATCAATATAGTAAATTATTTATTTCCGTTTCTGTATCATAAACTCGGGTTTCGTAGAATCCATTTCATAGAATATTCTGTCAATAATCCATTGAGGGATTAGGGGAATGAGTGGCGGAACCACTTTAAACACAAACAGATTGACGGGACTGTAGACCCGATTGGGACTCCGGCTGACGACCGCATCGATCATATCATTGACCACAATATCCATATTCCTGGAGCTCATGGATAGCTTTCGGCGCCGTTTCACTGATTTCATTTGGTCGGCAAAGTATAGGTCGCCGTATATCTGACGCACACTATCCGGGGTTTGTATCCAATTCCTCTCGAATGACGGGATCACTGAATAGTAGACACCGGTCTTGAAAAAGGCCGGCTCTATAGTCGACACCTTTACCCTGAATTTTCTCATCTCCCGTCGCAATGCTATTGAAAATGAAATGATAGCCGCCTTTGAACTGCAATAAGCGCTCAGATTATCGGCGGTCAGACGCCCACCCATACTAGCGGTGATTACTATACGACCTGTCATTTAATGATAA